AGTGGTGAGAATCTTTGTTTCCTTGATGTTGAGCTTCAATCCATATTGAAGGCTGCAGTTCCTGACCTTCTGCAGTTAGCGCTTCAGGTCCTCCTCAGTTCTCCCAATTGTCATATGGCAAAAGGGATTTTACAGATGTAATAAAGGGTTTCATGTTTTTTTTGGTCATAATCTGGGCACAGTGTACCAGGTCCCTGGCCAGTGATCTCAGTAGGCTGTGATTTCATTACTGGTTGTGGTAAAAAAACTGAGTTCCTTGAGGCTGGCTGTGGATGAAGTTGCTTTTCTTTATTGCCCGTCCTTGGTGTATTTGAGCCCACTGTTGCAGCCAGGATGCCAACCCATCTCACTGAGGGTTTCCTTTGTTTTCACGGACTTTCTTCTTTACAGAATAATGATGTGGCCAAAGATGACAAATTCTATCTTTGCCCCTAAATAGTCTGGTAATGCTTTCTCTAAGTCTTTGGAAGCAGGAGTGGCATCCACTTCCTAAACAACATACCTCTGGAAACCTCTATGAACTTAGATAAATGATGATAGTTATAGAAAGTAGAAAGGCTTCAGGCCTTTAGTTCATAGGGTCCCTATGAGTCATATTTGACTCGACAGAAATCAACAGTCTTTTGAGTTGTTTTATTTTATTTATTGTATTTTGTATTTATTGTTGTTTTTGTACTGCAGAGCCAGAATAGAACCAATCCATAGCTGATCCTCCAGTGGGTTTTCAGAGACAGTTAATCACATGGAGGGAGATTGTCCATCCTTCTCCCACGGAGCAGCTGGTGGCCTCGAACTGTCAGGACTGGTGCTTTTATTTCAGTCTATTGAAAAACCCTTGGTGGAGGACCTGGTCAACTGCCCAGATCATGACCCACAGGAAATATGAAATAGTGAATGTGTGCTGTATTGAGTTACTGAGTTTGTGCTGATTGTCTGGCAGTAGATAACTAATGAGCACAAGTTAGCAGTAGGGAGGAGAGTTGCTTACAGAAGAGTTCAGGGAGAAGCTGATTTTCACACAACTAAAGAAATTAAGTTGAAATTTGGGATAGAACCTTCAATGTGGGTTTCTTTCCTTCTATAGTAACTGTACTGAAACTGCAACATGGATTAAAATCACAAGGAGGGCTTATTAAGCAGAGCCTTATGCACAGCTTCTGATCCAGCAGGTCTGGGGCTGGACCTGAGAATTGTTTAACAAATTCCCATGTGATGCTCCCGATACTTGTGCACAATCCAACTGTAGGAAGCTCTATTACAAACAATCAAGCTCTAGTTACTTTCTGTTCCTGTATCCAAGTTTCTCCACACTTGACAGGAAACATTTTTACATTTCACATCAAGGTAAAGTATAGAACTTGGTATGTTGCTGTTATGTGCCAACGAGTCTACTACGACTTATAGTGACCCAATGCACAAAAGCTCTGAACTCTGCTCTATCCTGAGCGAGTCTCACAGTCTCTGACACGCCTACTTGCATTACTCCAGTTACTGTGTCAAGCCATCTCATCCGGGGTCTTCCTCTCCTGCGCTGTCCTTCAACCCAAGAATATTAACTTTCTCCAAAGCCTGGTCTCTCCTAGCTACATGACCAAAGTATGTGAGACATGGTCTCAAAATCCTTGCCTCCAAGGATCAGATTGGTTTCAGCCTCTCCAGGACAGACCTCTTAGTTCTTCTGGCAGTCCATTGTACCTCTGAGTCATCCGAAGTACTGTTTCTCCAATTCATCATTTTGGGGACAAGCCTTCTAAGGCATGGCCATAAAGCAACATGAGCTTCTCCTGGCTCTAAGTGGGTCAGCTTTTGCCATCTTGGTTTACTTTTTCTCTTACCTGGGTTCAGGCTGGACTCTAATAGTTTGACAAGGTCCAGCTGGGCACTTGATAATTTTAACTTTACCTTCTTTGTACTTTCCCCTAAATTATTCCACAGCTATCTACTCTTAACAAGAGGGGTTGGGGAGAACCTAACTGAAGACATCTGTTAAAATGGAATATGATAATCATGTCTTGTTTTTATTATCTTCATGATGCAACCTTGAAGAGAGTAAAATTGAGTGATCATCCAAGGAGATTACTATTTAAGTGCAGAATGTAGGTGTGCCCTTTCTTTGTATTCCAAAATAAAAAGTGACTGGCCTTTTCCACTGAAATAGTTTGGATCGCTCTAGCTGCCAGGTTTTTTGTTTGTTTGCTTGTTTGTTTGTTTTTTAAGGAGATGCAGGCATCCCACGGAGCCTCCATGGGCTGCTAGAGAGGCAAAGCTTCTTTTAAACCTAGTAATGTGGAGCATCTGGAACTTTGGGAATCAGACCCTGTCGACTTTAAAGACCACTGCCAAAATATCTATAGGGGTTTGGCAACTTCATTTAATTATATGAAAATGGATTATAACATACCAAACAAGCCCTGAAACAGCTATAAAATGGGCTGACTCAGAAAGAGAGTCCAGATTCCTCTACAGGTGTCTTGCATTAGATGTCCTGGATTGCTATCCCCTTGGCCCAGGTAAGGAAGGGCAATCCGGTGGCTTAGTGGGAAGGAAGCTGCATTGCCAACTCAAAGGTAGGTGATTCAAATCCACCACTTGCTCTGAGAGGAAAAAAAAAAAGACTGACAATCTCCTACTGTGTGATTTATAGCCTCTGAAAAAATCACCAGAAGGTCCAGTTATTTCTCAACTTAATGGCAATGAGTTGTGTGAGTTGAGGTCAAGGTAGGCAGCATCTGTGACATGCAGTCAAGAGAAAGGTGTCAGGGGAAATGGACTTAGGAGCATTGAATTAAATGGTGTTTGTGAGAAGGAGACTGAAAAGGCAGACTGAACGCTGATACATCACCATGGTTCCCAAATCCTCCTGCTTTGGGAAGAGCCTCTGAAAGAGAAGCCAAGCTTCTAGTCTAGAAAACATCTCCTGATTCTCTAAAGTGAGAAACTATAGCTATTCATGGCATTTTGTTTGCCAATAATAACACAGACTGCATTAAGAGCAACAGCTTGTCTACCAATCAGCAAATGTTCTATGATCATAGCAGAAACTAGAGGTGATGATTTGTGAACAGCAGCTGGTCTGGAATTTCTCACTTCTGACCTAATCTGTCTTGGGGTCTCTTCTCATTCTGGGGGGGTGGGGGTCCTTGGGTGGGGCAAGTCTCTAACACATTTGATAACTATATAAAAAGTTGGAGTTTTGAGTTTACCTGGAGGTGCCTCAGAAGAAAGGCATGGTTACAACTACCCCTAAACACCCCAATCAGTCATTTAGCTCTTTGGGTCACAATTCTGCTCACACATGGGCTCGTCATGAGGTAGAATGGAGTCCAAGGTGGCGGTAGTTCCAGTCTGGACATAACTGTGTAGGATTCAAGGTGAGACCCTTGGTCTTCCTACTCGAGAAGGTGCTGCAAATTGGAGTGTGAACATGAAAGGCCTGAAAAGGCCAACACTGCTCGGGATCCCAGCAACCTATTTGAGAGAGACTCACAAAGCGACATCAATAGTCCCAGTAAAATCATAACACAAGAGCCACATATTTGGGACAAGGTTCTATTAAGCAACTTTAGTCACTAAGAAAGTGCAAACACAGATTCCTGGGTAAATCTGATTTGCCATGCTAGGCCAAGCTTATTTTATTACATACATTCTGCATTCTAAGAACTAATAACTTCATATTGTAAACATTAAGCATACAGAGTTTAAATTCAAGGCCACATTGTATCATTGATTGTCTCTTTTGTGGTGTGTCTTTGGTTGGCCGAGATCAACTCGTAGTGTATAAATGCATAAGTTATATAATTATTATATAAAAAGAAGAAAAAAACCAAAAAAACCATTGTCTTGTATACTTCACTCTAACAAACGCACAGCGTTCGCGACTCGAAAGGAAAACTGGAGCCTGCCTAACCCAAATGCCTATGTGATTTCTGATTGTGGGAGCCAAGAAGGCTGCCCTTATTTTACCCTGGTGGAGAAATAAAGCCCTCATGTGATGATGAGGTCTTGAATGTTTCTTTTAAACATCAGACAATTCCAGTTAAAAAGTTTCTTTTTGACAAACACACAGAGAAAGAGATGCATATTTTTTGTTTCTGAATCCTACTCCTTCCCCATCCTCCACTGCGCTGTGTCCTTTCTCATAACACTGACTTTGGTGTAACACTGACTGCATAACACTTAAACCCAAGTCTCCGTGACTCGTTCGCCAACAGTCCCGCACTGCCCTAGGTCCAGTCTTGACTGCTTGAGACGCTTCTTTCCTGGTCCTGCTTCTTCCTCTTCTTCTTCCCCCTGCCTTCATCTACAATTACACTCTCCTTCGCCATCCACCTTCTGGGTCCCATCGTTTGGCTCACAGCTCCTGTAATACTGTAAAGGGAGTCAGAAACTGGGTTGTCTTCACAGTTTGAGAGAGCGGAGCTCTCCATCAAATGGAAAGAAACTGATTTCATTCAACACAGCAAGTGCCAATGAGTTCCGTTATCAATGTTCCTTGATAAGCCATAGTCGTCTTTTTTTTTTTTTTTCTGATATGTTCCTATATTTAAATACAGGTAGTTTCCCTTTAAAAAACAACAACAAATGACATTATAAATGGCATGTTAAGTCAAAACTGTGTCATCTCTATTGCTGTAGTTGAATCCCAGTTTGTACTAGTGAGATTCCAAATGCTACTCTAAAGTTTATACGTGTCTTAAGACCACTTTCTTTGGCACTTTGTCTTGTGACGTCTTGCTTCTACTTAAAATGTCTTTTACAAGGTTGGTCCACCGATTATATGTCCATATACATTGCATTTTCAGCATTCTCTTTATTTCTGTAGTAATACTTTAGCAATTCCCACCCCCCTAAGAGTCCTTGGGATTTCTTCCCTGGTGTCCTTCCCCAGCCCCAATCAACCTTGCTCGCTCCTTCTCAGGCACTTTGATTCATGTTTTCTCCAAAAGAGTTTGTGGCAATTCACTGGCGATCGATTGTGTGTTGTTGGGCAAGGCTTCCAACAGGTCTTTAATAGTAAGTGCCCAGGTGAGAAGGCATATGGCTGGCGGGGAGCCTAGTGTTAGGGTATATACCTCCAGTTGGTGAATTCCAGTAGGGGTTTGGGGCAGCAAAAAAACTAGACGATGTCACGGGTAGAGCTGGAGGGTGGGGAGCCACAAAGTTCATCTTCTGGGGGTGAGTGTGATATGACCCCATATAAGGGAGGTCTGAGGGGTACTTGTACAGAGATGATTCTGGAGGGTGGGGCTGGAGGGCCTGGGCGATTCCATGGAAGTCAAACTTATAGGCATAGCGCTTCCCGTGGACTTTGGTCATGATGTTTTTGTCATAGTAGTAACGAAGAGCTCGACTGAGTTTATCGTAGTTCATATTGGGTTTGCTTTTCCGTTCTCCCCAACGCCGAGCAACTTCATCGGGGTCTGTCATCTTGAACTCCCCGTTGGTACCCTCCCAGGTGATGCAGTTGGAGTTTGAGCTGTCCGACAGGAGCTCCAGGAGGAACTGCCAGAGCTGGATCTGTCCGCTCCCTAAGGAGGTGAGAAAAGGGAAGAAACACAACAGTGAGAACAGGGTCTGAGGCTCCATCAGTGAGGGAACTAGGTGCTCCTGGGGCCCCACCCACATCTGCCTTTCCAGACTCTCCCTGACTTAGAGTCCTGGACGGTGTGAACTTGACTACTAACCAAAAGGTTTCAGGTTCAAGTCTATCTAAAGGCATCTTCAAAGAAAAGTTTCTGAAAAACCTAGCCACTGACAGCCCAGTGGAGCATAACTAACTAACATGTGGGGGACCATGAGTCAGAATCCACCCAAAGGGAAATGATTTGTTGTTGTTGCTGCTGGGATTCAACCCTCAGCTGACAGTATTTTGTGGCTACTCCTCCATAGCTAACTTCTTCAGAGAACTGCCATTGGTTAAACAGCAACTGCCTCACTCACTCACATCCAAGAGCCCACAGCCAGAGACAGTCAGATACAAAGCAGCTCAGGCCAGAGCCCCAGCCTCAGGCAGGACCATTCATGCCCCAGGGCTCTCTGAGGGATCAGCCTCAAGCAAGGCTCCAGTGGCAGCCACAGGCTTCCTCTCTTTTTCCTGAGCTCAGCCTATCTCTGCTCTGGTGGTGCAGTCAATAGGGAGTTGGGCTGCTAAGTCAAAGGTGGTGCCTTGGCCGACTCAAATTCACTGTGCACAAGACAGATGAGCAACCTCCCCCCACATGATTTACAGACTCAGAAAAGCTAGCTGGAGGGTCACTGATGGCAATGAGCTTGAGGGGTTTTGGGGGTTTTATCAGTTCATTTTTTTTTTCTCCCAAGAACACACCTTTAATTACTCCCTTGTTTTATACCTGGTGAAGAGTTCCTGAGCAGCTCAAACAGTTAAACACTAACTAAAAGACCATTTTAGGGCATTGTGTTTATCGTAAGAGTACGGAATGTGGGTTGCAGAGTGGATTATATTTGGGGTTGGGGGATGTGTGTGGGGGATTGTATACCAATGAGGGAGTTTTTCTTTTGCTTTTCAAGGAGAGGAGCAAAAAGGGGGGGGGGGTGGTGAGGTGGGGTGGACGGGGAGAAGGGTGCAACAATGAATGAATGGAATTCCAAAATCTCTGTAGATGTTCATTGAAATGAAAAAGACATACATACATACATACATACATACATAAAAAGACTAATGGGTCAAACCCACCTCAAGGTGCCTTGAAAGGGAGGCCTGGTAATCTGCTCTCAAAAGCCCCAATCTTGAAAATCCTGCAGAGCACATTTCTATTCATGAGTCACCCCGTGTCTAAGGTGATTGACTTAATGGCACAGCATAGGGTGTTTTTCCCTTCTGTGTCTGGGGCCCCTGACCTTAGATGATAACTTGTGATGACTATCCAGCTCACCAAAAAACTTCGAGTCTTTCATGGAATCCAGAAGAATTCCTCTGGGGCAAATTTCAGGCTGGCTCTACTCACCAATACCCCCCTCCAACTTCCTCAAAAGAAAAGCCAGGTCAGCCTGGTGTTTTGGGGTGGGACTGTTAATTTTTCCTATTTTTGTGAGGTAGAAAGTGCCATTATATGGATAGTGCCCATGACTTAATGGCATTTATGTTGGCTGGGTCATGTAAAATAATAAAAGTCAAATTTCGGAAATGAACCTCAAGAGTTTATGGGGGAAAAAAAGGAAAAAAAAGAAAGAAATTCAGAGAATGGATGCAAACACCGTTATTTCTAACATAACATTTTGCTGGCGCACAGCAGGCAATTCTGTCAAAACTTTTCCTAGAACAGAATTAACCCACTCAAAATGAGGAAGTTTAAAAAAAGTTGGCTCTTTTTCAAACCAGATCACCCATTTCCAGTATGTTGGCGAATGCGTCCTAACGGAAATGCACACTTGCCGGTGCAAAGCCGCAAAGTGGTGTTCACAGACAAAAACTCCAACAGGAGTGAGCATGAGCCCTTGGGGGACTCGAGTGAGCCCTTGGGGGACTCGAGTGAGCCTCGGATTTGACCACAGAGCTCTCATCTAGCTGGCATATCCCAGCCAGACTTTTCCTGATCCCACTGGCGTGCAGCTATGGCTTTTGTGTTTCACTACATTCAGAGTAAATCCAGGCACATTACTCTAGCAATTACATTACAGCACTTTAAGATGATTTATGGCTCCCAAAAAGAGTGAAGTATGCAAATATCAAGAGTATTGTTGTAGACCAGGAAAAGCTGTGTGGAACAGATTCTAGAAGCTTTACAAACAGACCTGAGGTAGGTCTTCCCATCCAAACGCCAATGGCAGGGCTGCCTGCATGCTCAGTGGAGTCATTTAAGCAGCACCTCGGGCTTATTAGCAAAGATAAGTCCTTTCATGATACTATAAATGCATATCAATAGATGTGCTAAGATGATTAAAATAACTAATTGGTAACTCTTTGGAGAACTGATGTAATGTGAAAATCAATTCTAAATGAATCTCTTTAATCCTTCCCACCAGTGATGAACTGTCCAACTCGTAAATCCCTGTTTCCACTTTGGCTACATGGGAAAAGATATGTTTGTTAATTCATCCATACAACAGTCCTATGAGAAAGGTCAGCCTTTTCTGAATATGTGATAGAGAACAATCATTTTTCTTCTAGAAACACATTTGAGATGTATTAACAGCTTGTAGTTAGTTCACTGTGATGGAAGCCTTTGCTTTTTTGGGACATAGTCAAACTGTTCTCAATCAAGTTTTGTTGCCTCCAACGTTTCATTAATATGCATGTTCAAAAAAATATACAAAGAATGGTATGAGAAAACCATATGGTTTTAGTATGTATATTGTAACCAAAGGATTACAACTTTGGAAAAAAATTCTGTCTGTAACTTGGGAATAGGAAAAAACAGGGATTTTTTTATTTAATGGTCTAACATATGCTTTAATATAAATACACAAAGTTGTTTGAAAATAAATATTCAGTGTCAGCCTCCTCCCATGGAGAGAACAATTTTGAGGAATGCCAGAGACCTCACTAAACAGCTCAAGGAGCACTTGGTATCTATTTGAAACCTTGGCACTGCCTCTGTTCCTTTTAAAAACATGTGTAGGAGAGAATCAGGGGACATTACTAGTCTTTTATTTCTCCTGCACAAAGAGCTCGAATTCTGGGAGCCTACATTCATGATTAGAAAGCCCGAAACCCAAAGGACAGATGAGTTAACCTCTTAACTAGACCATTATCCTTTAAGACCCAGAGTACAAGGCACTGAGCACTTCCAGGATCTAAGGGAGCTCTGGGGACCTAGACTATTGGAATCTGTGCTGCTAACACAAAGGCAGTGCTTTGCAGTGGCTCAAATCCACTAGCCGCTCCTTGGAAGAAAGATGGGTAACCCTCTCCCCTGTGATTTATAACCTCAGAAACCCAGTCATGGAGTTGTATAATTCAGTGAGGGGTGGTGAGGGAAACTGGAAGAATCTTTTCTCAAAAACAATGTATTTGACTTTTGTAATTAAACTAAAACAACAAAAACAACCCAATAGAGAGTAAGCTCTGAGTTGGTTTTGACTAAACAGCAATGAGTCTTGAGAAGTAAAAGAAAAGATCAGCAAGCAACAAATGCTGGTGAGGTTGTGGAGAAACTAGAACCCATATTCACTATTGGTGGCAGTGTAAAATGGTGCAACCACTGTGGAAGGCGGTATGGTGCTTTCTCAAAAAGTTGCAAATAGAGATACCATTTGATCCAACAATTCCACTACTGGGAATATACCCTAAAGAAACCATAACTGTCATCCAGGCAGATATATGCACAATCATGTTTATCGGGGCTTTGTTCACAATAGCAAGGAGTTGGAAACAACCTAAGTGCCCATCAACAAACGAATGGATAGAGAAGCTGTGGTATATTCACACAATGGAATACTATGCTGCATTGAAAAACAATGAACTCATGCAATATTATTCAAAATGGGTCACCCTGGAGGACATTATGATGAGTGAAGTATCTCAGTCACAAAAGGACAAATACTGCATGGTGCCACTGTTGGAAAACAGGACTGACCTTGGGGTTGGGGAGAGACTGAGAATGATGGGTTCAATAATGTATACTGCATTGAAATAGACGAGGGAGAAAACTGTTTAAAAGGGATATGTGATTACGTATTTTTGTCATGACAGGAGTCTAGAGCGATGGCTACATGGTGGAGTGGACCTGGGGAAAGAATTTTTCTTTTACTTTCCAGAGGGTAGTGTACTGGGGGGGGAGGGTTAGGAGGGGAGCAAAGTGCAACAATTAATGAATGGAAAGCCAAAGTCTCTGTAAATTTTTACTGAAATTAATAATAAATTTAAATTTTTTTAAAAAGAAGTAAAAGAAAAGATCTGTAAGCAGAATTTATCAACTTCCATACATGAAAGCAAAATGGAAAACTCAAAATGAATGAGTGTTTATGTCAATGCCTATAAAAAGTAATATTATCAGCTTCCCTAATTGCTAAATTTAATATAACAGAATAGAAGCCATTTGTAAATCATCAAGAACCCCCACAGATTTTCCTCCTGTGCAGGAATTCTCAAAAGCTGGTTGTCCTCAAGACGACTCACTCACGGCAACCCCATATATGTTACAGTAGAATGGTGCTCCATAAGGGTTTCAGAGACTGATTCCTTGGAAACAGGTAATTTTCTTGCTAAACACCCATGGGTAGGTGTAAACTGCTAACCTTTGGGCCAGCAGCCAAGTGCATTCCAGTTGCACCACCCCAGGATCTCTTGCTCACTGGTGGCTGGGTAATTATAGTCAATTACAAGTCAAAGCAGCTATCGGTGGCCCAATAACTTCAAAAGTAAGCTCATCAAGATCTTGTTTAACTGATCAAACAGTAACATTTAACATGTGATGGGATGCATGCAAAAAGACTGAACAAGTATCCAAAGCAAGAATTTTAGGGTTGAGTAAAGTCAGAAAGTGGCTTGGGTCTTTTACAGATCCAACCATCAACAGCATCAACCACCAACACCCCACGCCACTCCCCCGAGGCTGCTGAGTTGATTCTGATTAACACTGACCCTCTATCAAGTTTCTGGGGCTATCCACCATCTTTCTCCTGAAAAAAAGCAGGTGGGCGTGCCCAGCTGACCAGAGCAGCACATAACACAGTATGCCATCAGAGCTCCTTCCAAGTAAATAGACACTCTTTGAAGAGGCAAGATTTTACACCAAAACACCATTCTTACCTTTACGTCATAAATATTTTTTCCTTACAAATCACTGACATCTATTTTCCCATTTTAACTTGGTAATATATCTATTATGAATTGAACTGTGTACCGCCCCAGAGATATGTTGACATCCTTTCACCTGACCATGACCTTGTTTTGGAAATGGAGTCTTTGCAGATGTTCTCGGTTAGGTGAACACATGGTCATGCTAGAGCAGGCTGAGTTCAAATCCAACCTGAGTGGTGCCCATCTGAGAGAGAAGAGACACAGAAAGACATAGAGGGAATACTGCTATGTGATTAGGGAAGCAGAAATGAAAATATGGATGAAGGTGCAAGCTAAGAAAGGAACACCTGGATGAATAAGAAGCTAGGAGGGACACACATGCACACAAAAACATCTTTCTCCTGGAGTTGATGGCCAGAGCTTGGCCTCAACGACACCTTGAATTCTGACTTTTAGCCTTTGATAAGCCATTCAATTTGACATATTTTTGTTATAGCAGACCCTGTAAACTAATACCTTTGAATTAACTGAACAGCCATAATTCCCTGCCCCCACTTCCCCCCAATAATGGATTTTCCATTAATTCTCTCGGAGAAAGAAAACTAATCCTTACTAACTCACATCACAAGGATGTTATATTAGTTTCTGAAGACTTAAGTAACAAAATACTTCACAATGGAAAGCTTGTAAAGACTTTCGCTAACTCATTCCTCCCTGCCATAGAGTGAAGGAGCAGGTGGAAGTCCCACTCATCTGGAGAGCCCGGGGTGGGGGGAGAGAGGGTGGGATGTGGCCTGCGAGAGGACGGAAGCAAATCCTTCCATTTTCAGGAGCAAAGTGGTCTCCTAACGTGAGCAAACAAAAAAGAAACAGCTCCAAGGAGAATGCAGACTGAGCAAAGGGCAAAGCAACAAAACAGTTTGTAAACCACAAGGAAAAGTGGGGATTGGAGAGTGACTAGGATTAATGGAACCTTGCCAAGGCGGCGTTGGACAGAAGACAGAGGAAATATAACAGCCAGGACCCTGATGGCACCAAGGACCCAATGAGTTGGTAAAGCTTTTCTATCATTGCTGGGTGGTGCAGAAAATCTACGTGCACAGCCATCGGCTGGGCCCACAGCCTGGTATGGTGATGACAGCTCCTCTGTCCAGGATGAACGGCTCAGCCTGCAACTCCCTAGGGCTCAGTCTCACCTGGTGTAGGGCAGGGACGGAGCTGGCAGATGAGGGAATTAACTCTGTAAGTTGGCTGTGCCTTTCTCGGACATTGGCTCTGCCACTTCTAGGACCTTGAGGATGAACTCAGCCAATACATCAACACTTGCCATGATTTGGTTTGGGCTGAAACTAGATGTTCAAGAAAGGTATATCCGTGTATCCCTTTATACTCAGGTAGGTAAGGAATTGTGCTGCTAGCCCACAGGGAAGTGGTTGGAATCCACCAACAGCTCCTTGGCATGCTTTTCCCAGGAGGAGAAATATGGTCCAAATCATCAAATGACTATTTGGGATAGAGACATTGGGATGCTGATATCATCTTATGCATTCATAGTGGGTGATGTCATTTTTCCATTTAAAATTATTAACAAAAGGTTTGCACTATAATAAAGAGCAGGAGAGCAATTTTAAGTGGTGAAGGACTTGTTTATCAGAGGATGGAAAAAAAGAATCAAGCAGGAAGGAACATTTTCATTTATGGATAGATTAAAGGTATTCTGCTATCAGGGACAAGACCTCATAAATATGACTCACATACAGCCAGAAGATAGATGGGAAGAAGTCCAACTCATTATAAATGAAGGGGAGAAAAAAAACAACTATATTGTTGTTCCATGCTGTGGAGTTAGTCCTCAACTTATGGTGACTCCACTCACAAAGCAGCTGCCTGGTCCTGTGTCGTTGGTGTTAGAATTTATAGGATTTTCATTGGCTGCATTCTTTAAGTAGATCACAGGCCTTTCTTCCTAGTTCACATTAGTTCAGAAGCCCCACTGAATTCTGTCCAGCATCATAACATACACACTAGTCTCCAATGAGAGATAGTTGGAGGCTGTGTAAGAGGTGGGCTAACTGGGTGTCAAGCCTGGTCTTCAGCATGAGATTCTACCACCAAACCACCAGTCTTTCCCCTGACTGAAACATCTCAAAACAATAAGAAATAAGATTAATTTTATTTGAATAGCAAGATTGGCAATTGCAAATGGAAAACTGGACACTGTTGAGGAAGAGGGAAAAGGACTCTGAAGCCCTGGCCATCAGCTACATGCCTGAGTAAGAAAAAGAGCTATGGTGACGAGGCTCTATGGTGTGGACACAGTGTTGTAATCTCTCTCCACCAGAACCTCCAACCCCCTTTACCATATCCTACTACTTCTTCATTCAGTTATTGGACAATTATTGAGCTCCTGGTTTAGACCCTGGACCTGGTAGTTCCGTAGACAAAACACTTGCTTCTAGTTGCTCAGCTGTTTAATAACATTTATTGGATAATTAAAAGGTTAGCTAAAATGTAGATGTCAAAGATGCTGATGATTTGTAATTATAATTAATAAATTGTCATGAATAGAATTATTATAATACAATTACTTAGAATGGTATTCTCCCAGTATGGGTTCTATTGTGACAAACACCAACTGAACCTAAATCTTTTCAGCTTCCACCCCTATTTTGGCCTCAGGGTTGAGACAATACGCTTGGGACAACCTGGCACTTGAATTTGTTGTTGAGAATATGCAGCATATGCTGTGAATTTTGGAAAGTGGTGCCAGCACAGCTGGCTCTGATCTGAATACAAACAAATCAAGCAATTTGGTTGGCACTGCAGTGGGGGACAGGTGATAATCCTTGGCAAGAATAAACCAATTCAGAATCTCCACTGTCATCGAAGTTCAGAAACATATTATTGACAACGATCTTAAAGCTAAAGTCTTGTATGGATTCTGTTTATTTTTTTAAAAAAAACAGTAATTATTTTCTCATTTTATTTATTGTAGGCTGAAATACTCTTTGCCAAAGCTAAAATTTTAATGTATAAGCAGTCTAATTATTTCCACTTAAGCAAATAAATTCAATGAGACCTAAAAAATCATAATGTGTTTCATTTCAGGAAGTTCTCACCAACACAAGTTGAATGATCAAATGGCCATTTCAAAAATGGTACTTTGTTTAGACAAACAAACGAACAAACAAACAAATTTCAGCAACATCTCACCTGGATTTGCAAGGCGGCTACTTGTTGGTCCAAGAATCTGATAAGGATCTGCAGGAAAGAGAAGAAAAGGAGTGAAAGTCTCAAAGCCATGTTCTGAGTATGATGTTTCTTCAGGTCTAACGCAGACTCAGTTGCTTTTCCAGAGTTAGGAGATGAAAACAGCCCACCCCACCCTTTGTAATTCTGTGTGTCTACTTGGCTAAGCTATGCTTCTCAGTGGTTTGGCCAAACATTATATTAGCTGCTGTTCCATCATACAGTTTAATGCAATGTAATCACCTTCCATAATGTGATCCTAATGCACAGTGAAGCCTGTGAGAGCTGGAATTTGACAAGACTATTTCGTTTCCCTGGGTCTCACAGGTGTTCTGCCATTGACAGGATGCAGTTTATCATTATTAATTGGAATTTCCATTTTCCTTCTCTTTAATTTTCCACAACACGCAAGTTCTATTGTAATATTCAAACAGTTGAAAAAAGTTTCTACCTCCAGACTCTAAAGCTACTTTGGGGAAACTTAATCTCTCTCTCCACTCTTCTTATTGCCTGAGATTTGGATCTTTGGACTAAAGGCTGTAGAAACATCTGACCTACAGGTTTTGGACATGACAGCCTCCCTCCCTCAATTCTGGGAGCCAACTAGAGTCTTAGGTCTGTCACATCTGACCTAAGGATTTTGGACTTGTCAGACCCCGATGCCACAATCACAGATCACATGAGCCAATGCCTTGACTTAAATCTCTATTGCTCTCGCTCTCAATGCTGTTAAGTTGGTCGCAACTCATAGCTGACCCCCAGGAAATCCCAAGGTTGTAAATTACATGCGAGGAGAGCCATCTTTGTCCCTCAGAAAGGCTGGTGGATTCAAATTGCCAGTGCAGCTCTCCAGGGACTATGTCACCAGAGTGCCCTTCTCTCCCCTCACCTGTCTGTCTCTTCCTCTGAATATGCATATTCTCTGGTTCTGTTTCTCAAGAGAACTCTAATGTGCCTCCCTTTAAATTCTGTAGGACCGTTCTCTGCACTGGCACTTTGATGGTAAGAAAATGTGCTGCCAACAAAAAGGTTTGAGGTTCAAATCCACCAGATACTTTGTGGAGATTTACTGCCTCTGAAAACCCACTAGAGGGTCAGCTATGGGATAGTTCTGACCCAACAGTACACAATGACAACAACAACATTCTCTGTGTTAGATGTCACTTAGGACTTGAGAGAAGTTTACTGTCATAACCTTTCTAGTTGGTGTCAGAGCTAGATCTGATCTCACTTCCTAGTCCAAACGTCTCTCTTCCCAGGACACACAGAGAACAGACAGAAGTGGAATGCCCTGCCAAACACAGGGCAGATGCCAGCTGTGCTACTCAGCACACTATCATCAATCTCCCACTGCCTTTTCTCATTGAAACAGATGCAGATGCTGAATTAATATTCTTATGAATTGTGTTCTTCCAAAACATAATACTGAAGCCTTAACCTCTGTATCTGTTAATGTAATCTTTGGAAATAGGTCTTTGCTTGGTTTTGGTTTTTCTTCCACCCCGCTTCCCTACCCCAGTGCTTCTCATCTGTTAATCCTCAAAACTGATTCTGTGTGTAAAGTATTTCTTAGCTTTTTAAATAAGTAGTATTATACCATAAATGCCATTTTGTGACTGGTTTGCATCACTTAGCATAATGTACTCCAGTTTCATTCATGATGTGGAGTATTTAAAAAATTCTTGATAATTTTTTAGTGCTATATAATATTTACTGAGTGAATGTACCACAGTTTCTTTAGTCATTCTTCCATTAGTCGCTTATTTCTAACTCTTTGCTATTATAAACAGTGCTGCAATAAACAGGAGTATAAGTATGCCTGTTTGGAGTGCAGCTCTTATTTCTTTGGGGTATATATCTAGCATAACTGTTGGATGAAATAGTATTTCTATTACAAACTTTAAGGAAGCACCAAACTGCTTTTCAAAGTGAATACACTATTTCATATTCCCACTAGCAGTTTTAGGAGAGTTTGAACCTCTCCATACCTTCACCAACATTTCTTGTTTGATATCTTATTGAACATTACTGTTTTGCTGTCACTGAGATGGAACTTCTCTTTGGCGAATTACACAGGGTCTGTGTGTATGTTACCAGTTAGCATGAGACTATAATGGAATAGGGTGGGTTTTAATCTTACTCAACTGGCCTCTCTCACTGCCTTCAAACTAGAACCAACTCATAGTTAACCCTTCAGAAGGCTTCTGAGGCAGCAAATCGCACAGAAGAGACTGTCCATCCTTCTCCTGGGGAGCAGCTGATGGGTTCAAACTACCAGAGAGAGTTCACAGCACAATTCTCCACGGATTACAGAACCAGAGCTCCCGACATGACTGGTTCACAGAGAAAAAAGGAGAAGCAACACAGAGACACAGAGACAATGGCCTTATGAAATGAGTATGCAAGTTAAGCAATGCAGGGACTGTTAGCTGACATCAGAAGAAGCTAAGAAAGAAGCACAGAAAAGACTCTCCCTCTTAGCTTTTGAAGGAAATTAACATAGCTAACGCCCTCTATTTGGAATTTTAACTTTCAGAACAGTAAGAAAACAAATTACTGTTCCTATAAGCATTGAGGTCTGGGGGCAGGAAGATAGGCAATCTCTTTTTGTGTAGTTAACAGCCTCAGGAACCCAATGGTCAGCTATGAGTCAGTTCTGACTTGATGACATGTTGCTGTGGCAGCCCTAGGAAACTCCTATGGTTGTATGTTGTCTATGTGCCAAGATGGAATGAATTCATAATCACAAAGAAGCAGTCCTGATGAACTGGAGCTGACGTGGTGGCACCTAAAACCACCAGAATGGTTTGGTTCCATATTTACCATAAAGGCTTTGAAACTGTTTTCACAAAATAAGAAATCAGCTCCAACTGAGTGCATGGATGATTTCTGCCCCCATTTTATACATGGAACATAAAACATAGATGAAAGAAACTTAATTTCACTATTTAAAAGTGGGAGGGTGGAGCGACAACATAAGAGAGGAAAACCCTTGACGGATTGATTCAGTGACTTGGGTAATGGGGGTAGGTGTGTCAGAGACAAAAAGAATGGCAAAGGATAGAGCAGAATTTAAGGTAACTGTACACAGGATTTCTATGAGATACAGGCAACTTGATAGCGCATAACAACAGCAATTTAAAAATTGACCCATTTTAGAATCACCCTGTTGCACTTATTTCTTCCCTGACGGTCTTCCAAACGGTTCCTGGACTCACCTAACTGAGGGCGCTGGTCTTCAGTCTTGGGCACTGTGGAAGGAGATGGCTGAGCAGCTGCAAATCCAGGGGAAAAAACCACCATTAGCTCTTATTAATATGGATCCACTAGTCTTTGATGCTGTTCTATAATGATTCTATCACTTAGTTAGCTATTAATAGGATAATCTTAACTTATAGAGTAATAATAATCTCATAGTAAGGAAAAAAAATTTCATATCAAAGCCAACTGTAAAGATTTGTTACAGAATAAATGTACTTCTGCTATTTAAAAATATTATGTATGCAAAGCAAGAGAAATTGAGGTGACTTTTAAAACAGATAAATGTGAATCATAAACAGATGAAGGGAAACCACCAGGAAAATAAGATGAACCCAGGGATGCTTTCAAATTTGACAAATATGAAGGAATACACCAGTTATTTTATCTGTTTTCAAACACTATATGAAGTATTAACTTATCTACATTGCCTGTGGCACTCACATTCACAACATAGGAAATCAATACTGTACCTTTTGACTGGGGTGTGGGATGGCCATGGCCGGTCCAGGCTGATCTCCTAGGTGGTTCATAGGGTAAATCTGTGAAGACAAATGCATCGACTAAAACACCAATCATATATAGTATTTATGATATATAAATGTTTTAAAAGACCTTTTATGTTGTTAGAATAAATGCAGTACAGGGAAATACAACAAGGCAACATTCACTCTCAACTCCACTAGACGTAAATTTTATTTATGAAGTAAAATTTTGTATATTTTGTAAATTTTTGTATATTTTGTTGTATTTTGTTTTGAATTTTTCACCTATTCAAGTGAAAACTCCCATGGACAAATTCCAGCAGTTTCCTACAATAAGTCAAGACAGGGATTTAAAGTTTCTTACCTAATTGGTCTGGCTTCCAACCAAGACTGCCCTAAAATCCTTCCTTTGCTTTTTCCATGTCCCACCCAAGACGGAACTGATAGGTTCATGAATCCTAAACCCCTAAGTTCCTCAAATGTTCCTTCAGTTCATATTCCTTTCTTCTTTTCCTCTTTAGAGAATGGTCACTATCCTTCTACTCCAATATGTCCTAGCTGCCCCTCCTTTCCCTTTTGAGAGCTCACTCATTTATAGTGAATCTGTCTTAACTCTAATTAATTTGCTCAGCAAATATATACTTCTTTTCCGTCTCTGAATTAATACCGAATTTCTCGAAAATAAATCACCTGAAGTATGTTGAGCCAGGGCTGCAATGACAGTTAATAATGGTGATCAGACCAGTAAGAACTTGATGGCAAGTTCTTTTAAATTATCATTTATCCCTTAAGACTTCATCTCTTTTTTTTTTCTGCACACAAATTTAATTTAATAACCATACTTCTATATCCCCAGTGAGAGTTCAGTTCATGATGCTCAAGACTTTAAGTCCATTCTGGTGACAACTTCCGAAAAATCAGACCCTGAATACCTTATGTGACACACATCTATTCCACTATACACACCATCTGCTTTACAACATTATCATGATGGTAATGATGTTATGAATTGAATCAACTAGACAACAACTAAATTGGACTGGAAACCATTTCAGATTCCTTTCAAAAATACATTCCAGAAATATTCAATATGCTTACAACCTACTAGCATCAATGAAAGCCATTTCTCTATGCAAACTTCTCAGAGAGTAGTGATTGGTGGCAGAACTCTTGCCTACTACTCTGGAGACCTGGGTTCAACTCCTTGCCAAAGCACTTCATTTGCTGTCACCAGCCTTCTGCTGGAGGTGTTTATGCAGCTGGGATGATGAGTAAGTTTCAGCACAGCTTTGAGACTAAAACTAACTAGAAAGAAAGGCCTCACGATTTAATTCCAAAAACCAACCAAAAATTGTAATGTATCATAAACCTCTACAGATCCACATCATGGAATGGGACTAGGCAGAGTTTGGTTCTAGGTCAGTGGCTTTCCATGAGTCAGGGCTGACCTGATAGCAGCTAGCAAGAACAAGAATATACAATCTTATAACAGAACCATGTCACATCTATGTTCTTCTTGGATAGTTCAATGTCATGTGGCACTCTGGGTCAAAGAAAATCCACAGTCAGATATTCAGCAGATGTTTCACTGCCAAGTGCTGGGAAATGGCTATAAACTCTCACTTTGAGGGTGAGGCAATGTCATTACTTTTAAGCCCCTCTTTAAACAAATATTCTTCTTTAAAACTAGCGATTGATGGGCCACTCTTCAAAGAGCTTAACTGTATCACAGATGATTTCTCTCCTCTGATTTTCATATCCCCAGGAGAAGGGAAATGGAGGGCAGCATGGAATTTGACTCCCCACCACCTTGGTTTATTTAGTCTATAGGACTAGAAGCATCACAACTAGTGTGGACTGGGAAATGCTATCCTCCAGAGACTTTCTTGAATTTAAGACAATTTTTCTCATTAAACCCTGCTCTTGTTCACCACTCCCTTTCAGCTGGCATTGTTGCCTTTGAGAACCACAGGGTTGCTGTGAGTCACACTGGACTTGACAGCACCACCACCACCACCAGCTTCTCTCATCCGACTGCCCAGGCTTTTACTTTCACAAATCTTTAGACACCATCGATTTACAATTAAATGTCAATGTCCACATATGGGAACATTTTGTACACAGATTCTCACCTAGCTATATTTTGTCTAAATATTTGGTTAGCCAGAGAGATTCAATTTAGAAACGAACTCGGGATGTATATTTTGTTAGCAAGGCAATCCTCCCGGCACCCAGGCTAACTCAGGAACTGATCATCACGTTAACATGGTTCTTCTGGCATCAGACAAGTGACATAAATGGGTTAACTCAGAAACACGGCCCATGGACTAATGGCATGAGCAACACCCAGGAGACGGTGAGAAATGTAGAACCTCACCTTGGACTTGACCAGGTGTCATCAAGTCGACTTGAATGGTGGCCCAATGCGTGTCAGAGTAGAACAGTGATCCACAGAATTGCCAATGGCTAGTTTTCTTGGAAATAGCTCATCAGAAAACTTCCTTCCCAAGATACTACCAGATAGGCTTAAACTCTTAAAATTCTGGTTAGCAGCCAAGTGCATTAAGTCTCTGCACCACTTAAGGACTCCACCCTAGATCTTTCCTGAGTCAGAATCTGCATTTTAACAAGTTCCCCACCCCCACCCAGTAGCTTGGGTGTACATTAAAATTTAAGAAGCCCTGGCCCCAAAACTTCCACTGCTCTCTTTTGAATGTCTATGTTATTACAGATATCACTTTTTTAAAATACTATTTGGAGCGTGCCAATACAAATAAAAACTGGTTGAAAGAGTTTGAGATTGAATGCTTTTACCCAAAGCGTAATAATGGAACTAATTGCAAGCATGAGAGGATTCATCAGCTACTGCTTTAAACATAAAAGTACGGGTCATGAAATGTGACTGGAAAAAATGAAACAGAACCATACTACTAGAAAAACATTTTGAAACTCGTTATTCATAAAATGGTTAGATTTTTATAATCATGTCACATTCTCCCTTGAAAATCAGAACCTAAACACCACCCATTTCAGTCGTATTTTTAGCCAAGCATTTGAGATGTTTATATGAACAATGATTAACATGTTCATAAACATACTGCTATGGCAGATAAGGGGATTTTTGTTTTCATTCACGAATTTCTGGTCCAATGCTTCCTTATCATCACTAATCACATGCTGTGGAACTGAGCCCCCCTCTCCCATGGGAAGGTACTTTGGGAAACACTAGACTGAGCTTAGCTGAGAAAGAAGCGGCAAAGGGGTTGGTCTGGTCAGTAGCTACATCAGTTCAAAGCATGCACTTTTGGGTTTTTTTGTTTGTTTGTTTGTTTGTTTTAGCGATGCACTTTTGAGTGGTTCTTTGTTTTTGCATGGAGTTCCTAGGTGGTGCATACTGCAAATGGACTTATTAATTTGCTCAGGTGGCCAACTGAAAGGTTGCTGGTTTGAGTCTACTCTGGTGATGTGCTGCTGAAGTGTCAGACCCTGAAAACCTTCTGGCACACGGTTCTACTCCAACATCATCATCATTCAAAGCTAACTTGATAGTAACTGGTTTAGTTTACTATAACTTTGGCTGCTTGAAAAATTCTTACTCTGCATACCTTTGCTATTGGTTCTCTACGAAAGCAGTATTAACATAGAACTTTGAATGGGAACAAGCTTTACTTTTCATTTTCAGTGATCATTTCAGCACTGACTCCTTTTCTCTGTTTCTAATTGAATTTCTTCAGGTAATTAACTCATACAATTGTCAGGAGTGCTTATGTTGAAGAAGCCTAACTTCTGGCATTAGTTTTACTAGCTTTTCTGTAAATAAAGATAATATTTTTAAACTGAATTTAAAAAGGCTATTCCACAGGCACCTTTAGTTTGTGAGAGAAACCCACTTTGTGTTTTGATCTAAGCAAAAAACCAGGACATTGGGAGAATGATCAGGGAGACTGACTGTTGTGAATTCTTCACACCAACTCCTCTGTCAATCTCACTAGGAAGTGGAACCAGTTCTTGACTCAGAAAACACTCTGCCTGCCTTCCACATTCCTAATAAAAAACCCCACCCAAATCACTGCTGGTTACAGTGAAGCCAATTCAGGTTCATAATGACCACTCACTGGGTTTCTGTGGCAATAAATCTTTAATAGGAGGAGACTGACCTTTCTGTCATGGAACAGACAGATCCTAACGCTAGACCTTCCAGTCTCCAGTCTAATACATTACATGCTATGCCACCAGGGTTCTGTGCCTCCTTTTCAGTTGTCATCGCCATTGTTGTTTAGGTGCCATGGAGCTGAGTGTAACTCACAGTGACCCTATGAACATCCAACCTGAACCCTGCTCGATCCTGTGACATCCTCATCATCTCTGACATGCGAGAGCCCACTGCTGAAGTCAACATGTCAATCACTCTCACTGGGGGTCTTCCTCTCCTTTGCCGACACTCCATCTTCCCAAGCCTGATGTCCCTTTCTAAGGAATAGCCTCTGCTAGCTACATGTCCAAAATATGAAAGATGAAGTATTGCCTTTCTTGACTCCAAGAAGCTCTCTGGCTACACTTTTCCCAACACACATATCTGTTCTTTTGACAGCCCGTGGGATTTTCAGTATTGTTCTCCAGTGCCACAACTCTAAGGTATCAATTCTTCTGTCATCCTTATTCCTTGTTGCACTTTCTGATGTATAGCAGGTGACTGAAAAGACCATGTCCTGAATCAAACTTCAAACTGACATCCCTTCAGCACTTTGGAGAGGTCCCTGACAGCTGACTTGTGCAATGCATCTCCTGACTGTTGATCCAAACAAGATGAAATCATTGACAGCTTCAATTCTTTCCCCATCTACCATAATGTTGATCGTTAGTCCTGTGGTGAAGACCTTTGTTTTCTTGATGTTGAGATAGTTCTCACTGTCCTTCTCATGAAGGTTAAGTTCAGCCATGTTTTTATATTTTCTTTTCATCCAACTTAGGAATTGTTATGTGATGCAAATAGATAAGTTCTGGGCTGTTAACATAAGGTTGAACCAAGTCCACCCAGAAATGTCTGAGAAGAAAGA